TAACTCACAAAATCATTTTTGTTAAAAAAGCTTGTTTAGTGAAAAAGTGCTAACAAATATTCAAACATACAGGTAATTAATTCAACTTTGTCATTAACCTTTTCTTAAAAAATTTCCATAACTTTCAAAAAATTTTCTATTATGTTTAATATCCTGTTTTGATAATCCACTCATTTTTTTTATCATTTTTATTTTGAACATATTATCATATTTCTGTACATTATTATATTTTTACAATTTAATTCATTATTTAAGAAAAAATCTATTTTCTTTTCCTAAACATATTGTTTGCAAAAATCTCATCAAGATCATGTTTCTTGACAGATGTCCTGAAGATGGAACGTACCTAGTTCCGAAACGTCGACAATAAACAAATAATTAAATAAAGAAATTGTTTTTTTTAAAAACTTTTCTTGTTTTTTATTTTGTATTATTTTTGGATTCTTGTTCGAAACTCTACAAAATATACACAAATCCAAGACTCTACCATTCAATAATTATATATATATATATATATATATATATATATATATATATATTAATAATATGTTTCGTCTATTAAATTTAATATTAAAATTGGCAAAGATTAAAAATACTTATTACGTTGTAGTTACGTTTACCATTGTTGCGTTATAAGAAGTTAATCAATACATTTGTGTTACGTTATTGTTACGTTTACCATTGTTGCGTGATTTTATTATTGTTTTGTGATTTTATTATGTACTTTTCCAAGTATTCAATCATTCTTTCATTCGTTTACATTTTTATTTACTCATTTGTTTATTTGTAAATTTTGTTTTCTTGACGTTTCAAGTCACTCTGAATCGAATGAAACCAAATTTGGAAAAAAATATGTATGTGTGTGTATGTAGGTATGTGCGTGTATGTGAGCCGATTTTTTTTCACTGCAAATTATAATAAAAAAAAATTAATCGGACCCACGTTTCGACCTACTCATCTTCAGGTGCAACCTATACAAAATAAATAATTACCATATATATAAATATATAATTTATCTATATAATAATTTATACTTTATGAAATACGTTTCGACTGCGTTGTATGTCGTCATCAGATAATTATATATTTATATAAAACCTTAATAATTGTTAGTCTAGTTCGGTAATGAAATAAATATGTAAAATATGTAAAATAGACACGTCTAATTAAAATGGGCGCAATTATTCATGTTTTAACAGTTTTGAAACATGTTGAAAGGATATATATATATATATATATATATATATATATATATATATATAATTATAAAAATGATATATTTATATATGATAATTATATGGTCAAAAAAATTAATGGCTACATTGTTAAGAATGAATTTGTTAACGGCGGAATTTTTTAGAAATATAAATTATATGAATAAGTACACCGAATAATATTTTTAATCGCTTTTGTATTCAAATTTATTTTTTGGTAATTTGACGTGTTAACAACTTAATTTATTATATATATATATATATATATATATATATATATATACTAGATGACGTGACAGACATTGTCTTGTATCCTTGTCTACAATTCAAAATTCCAACAATTTTTAATATCCCAACCTATACTTTATAATATCCTATTTAATATCTTGCTTCTATGATTTATTTATATTGAATAATTATTTTTCTGTAATTATTTTAATTATATTTTTCAATGTACTCTATTCAATCTACGATCAACTAACTAAATATTCCAAACCCAATGCCAAACAAATGAATGAACTTCTAAACAATTTTTTGAATGAGTAAATTTTGTTTTGTAATCTTAAATAAGTTAGTAGAATCAGGCAAAATATGACAGCATTAGTTAAAAAAAATCTTTCAAACTAAATTATATAATTTCATCTACCAATCATACTTTATCTTCTATTATTTTAATTTTTGGCACATCTCAACTGCTTTTTGGCAATTACATTTTTCTTATTCATAATCATAAATTTATTATACATATTCTAATTTTGTCTAGGCTCATAAGTAAATTGAAATTTTTGGCAGATGACAGTTTTCATTTGTTTTCAGTGCTAAACAACGTCTCAAATATTGTTAATGTCAAACAATGACATGTCGTTTTTAGTAAATATTTCTATTTATTTCTGTAATATTACTATATTTTTATAATCACATACATGCTAAAAAATTCCCTTAACAATTTTCAGAAAGATTTATCAAAATTCGAATAATTGTTTAGGAGGAGTATATTTACATAAATAATGAAAAAAAATTCTCTAAAAGTTTTAGCTCTTAATATTAATATTTAGATAGTCTACAAATCAATTAGAAGATTTGTATATTTTTTATTAATTTATGTCATCAAGTAAATTCTTGCGCCATCTGTGATAGCAGACTTCCATCACGTGTAATTTTAATAGAATTTTTTTTGAGAGTGCCAATAGCAACTATCAAATAAATATTCTGCAAAATTAATTTTGATGTCATGATGAATAAATAATTAGAGGTTAAGTGATTTATAAATATTTTAAATTGACATAATATGCTCTGTATGGATCAGAGACATGGACTGAAGGGTTGTCAAAGACAAAGAAATTTATTTAGAGGTTAAGTGATTTATAAATATTTTTAATTGTCGTAATATGCTCTGCGTGGATCAGAGACATGGACTGAAGAGTGGGTAAAGACAAAGAAATTTAATTAGAGGTTAAGTGGTTTATAAGTATTTTTGTCATAATATGCTCTGTATGGATCAAAGACATGGACTAAGACAAAGACTAAAGTTCTTCTGTTTTAACTTCGTGCAGCAGGATCTCTTTTTGCAGTATGGGTCCGACCTAGTTTCCTTTTCTTTTTATGATCATGCTCAGTAGAGTTGTTTCTTTGCCTAGCAAATCTTTATTTTATCTTCTCCATTTATCTTCAGTACCACATTCCAAATTTCTCCACGTAGTTTTTGTCCCCCTTAGAGTCCATGTCTCTAATCCATACAGAGCCATGCTCCATATATACTCAACATATTATATAAGTATATACCGAAAGCAATTTTCCAACCTATTCTGTTCTGACGCTCTTTCTTATACAAAGTAATTTTTGTTCGTATATACATGTATACATATATACATATAAATGTATATATGTATATGTATACACCTATAGATGTATACATATGTATGTATGTATACAAACATTTATATAAAGCTAAATGGGGAAAATTGCGGGGCCATAAGCTTTTTGACTGGGGGAGTATATAAATATCTGTATATATACATATATATATATATATATATATATATATATATATATATTGTCTGAAAGAGGGGTAGAGAGAGAGAAAGAGAAAACAGATCAAAGAAAGGGAAAAATAATCTTTCCATCCTTGTTCTTTGCGCAGACTCGCAGTCTTTGTTACTCTTTTCCTAAATAGATTTTGTAAGGGATGAAAACTCTGTATATATACTAGCTGACCCGACAGAAGTTGCCCTGTACCCACGTTTACATCTCAAAAGTTTCAAATTTTTTAATATCTAATAATTATTATTTAAAATGACTGATGATGAATTTTATTCACTCATCATTCATGTTCAAATTTCTATTGAATTGACATTCAAACTATCAAATATTTAAAAAAATCCCAGACAATTTAAAACTATGTTTGCGGACCACATCAATACTTTAAAACACAAAATAGACTTTTTTAACCCGACTGTACTACAATTGGAACAAAATTTATTTAAACGAAGAATTATAGAAGGATCTTTTTTAACTATTTATAAAAATAAGACAATAAATAAGCAAAATGAACTAAACACGCTGTGCGACTCGAATCTCCTTTATTTG